CCATTGTATCCTCTAATATAATGGTGCTGAGTGTTGAAGTCTTAAAATTTTATTACAGATTACTTTTGGTTTAATCTCTCCTTTATAAGGGAGTCAGAGCATTATTCAGATCTTTTTTAAATTATGTGGATGACTAGGTTACAGTAGCTAAGAATTTGTTTTTAGTCTAATAGAGTGGACACTGGTTCTGATAAGGTGTACGGGGCTAAGGTGAACAGAAATAATCACTTTCTACCTGGTTCCAAATACCCCAGCGTGTTATTTCTCTTTAACAGCCCCTCTGGCTCCCTGCTAATTACAGAATAAGGAGGGGTGGCATCAGGGTGGCGTGTGCAAGGCTGTGCAGTCCGGTGCTGCCTGCCCTTCCTAGCCTCACTCTTGCCCTTGATCATGCCACTGCCTATGAGATTGTTTCTACTGTAGTGTTGGTGGGAGCCCCTCCTCACCAGCTTTTGTGTCCTGTAGATTTTTTTTTTTTTTTTACTAGCATATCGAGGCATTTCCCAGCCCCAGCTCTGGAATCAGACATTTCTTTAAGGAGCCTGAGTTCTTTTTAGTGAAGAATACTATTTAGAAACCAAAATCAGGGCATTGAGTGTGCTCATTGTAATTGTAATATCTTTGCCTCTGGTCCTTTGCTGGGCTAAGACTAGAGAATATATGTCTGTATAATGCAAATTTACACGTATGTATGTGTGTACACATTTGTGTTACTGTTTCTCTTACCTGTCTCTATTTACCTACCGACCTGCCTATCTTATTGAACACCATAATTTCACACAGTTACATCCAATTCCAGAACGACACCATAGCATTTGTTCTTGTTTTCTCCTTTCCCATGTCTGCAACTTATTTTTCTGATAGTGAGACATCTGGATTCCATTATATATTTACATGCTTAATCAGGATTGATCTGTTCCCCTGTCTGTACCCAGTCTTTCTCTGCTATAACCCCCTTTCCACCTAGTGCTGCTTTCCTCACCCTGTTGGGACTGTGACCCCCTTAGGCAGGGCCGCTGCCTCTCCTCCTATGACGGACGTCCTTCTCAGGCCCTTGGACTCTGTCCACCCACCCTTCATGGAAGCTTTTGCCCGGCAGGCTCTGACACCCCACCCTCGACTACCTTCCAGATGCTCCAGTTACTCTACCTTCACTCCACGTACATGCTTCCTGCTCCCCACGCCATGCCTCACTCTTCCTGAGTTCTGAAGCTCTGAGCAGTGCCAAGTTGCCCCTCCAGAAGGATAGCACCCCCTCCTCATGGGTCCAGTGGCATCCTGCTGCAGATTGTCTTCTCTTCACCCACTTTTTTCAACTTGGTCAGCCTCTCTCTGCCACTATTACCTCTCCAAACCCACCCCTACCTTGCCTGGCCCCATCTAATGGCTTTAACTGACTATTAGAAAGAGAAATTGGAGAGCTTTGAAATTTTTTAATGTTTTCGACTTTGCTACTTAGATGACAAAGAAGTGGGATCCTGTTGTATACACACTTCACCTGTGTAGGCTTGGTCACACGTGTATACGCAGCAGTGGGAATGATTATCCTGACAGTCTCTTCAGTGGAGTAAGATTAGAAAAGGGAATCATCTGCCCTTAGCTGGACTCAGGTCTCGAGTTCAGCTCGAAAGCAAGCAGTTCACCAAGCTGCCAGACTTAAATGCAGAAGGTTTGCATTCATCCAGCCCCCGCCTCAGCGCAGTCTGACCACTTCATGTTAAGGCAATGTCTGCTGTATTTTGAGGGTAATCGAAGAGTGCTTTTTGGCCACGGTCCATTGCTGTTGTAAGTGCTGTCTTTAGAGTCTGCCCTCCTACCGCTTACAAGGGCTGTGGAGCCCCGCATTTGGTGAGGAAGTATGTGTGGGAATAGTGTGGTGCTACCCAAGCTCTTCTCAAGTTGAAAAGCTTTGAATTACCTCCTGCAAAGCAGAAGCCTCTCCACTTGACTGTGAGGCCTGGGGAGTGAGGGCAAACCCGGACACAGGTACCTGGGCCTGATTTAGCACGAGAAGCTCGGGAGGCAGGCTTGCTCCCCTTCGGGTCCTGATGCTGCTCCCTTACAGTTTGCTAAATCAATCCCAAGTGTAAAGTAAACAGAGCACTTGGGAAAGATTTCCAGCTCCTCCCACCCAAACTGGTACTCTCTGTTGGTATGTCTCTCTCCCACCAGGGCCATGGTCTTCCTAAATGAGGGCCCATTTGGTGTTTGTCTTTTGGCCCCAGCTGTGGACTGAGCCCACCATGTAGTGACACTCTGCACGCAGAAGGTTACAAAAGGCCCCGAGGAGAGGCGCACCAGAAGGGTCTGCGCCACATTAGATGTCCAGGGAGGAGAAGCGTAATGGGGTGTTTGCTTCCTGTCTTTGCACTGGGAAGTATTGTTTACGCAGCGATGACAGACACGCACAGAATGGAGTAGATGGTCCCCACACCCTCACCTGCGCCGGGCAGGCCGCACAAGCTGTTGTGCCGGCACTAATGAAGCAGCACAGGAAACGCCACTGGATAAAGCTCCTCTGTGAAGCCTGCCTCCCAACAGGGGAAACAGCGACCCTTTGAAGAAGAAGACAGCTGGGTTTGGGTTTCAAAACCTTAACACTGCCATCGCTAGACATTCATCTGTCAGTGCACAGGGGACGACATGTGGGAAACAGTTGTATCCGGTCAGGCCAAGGGGAGAAAGAAATGGCTGACTTCCAGGGTAACTACCAAACCTCCCGTGGTCAGGGGGCTGCTCAGCGTGGCCAAAAAGAGTTGATTTGGTGAGGCCCAGTGTGAGAACCAGGCACTGTCTACTGTGGGCCAGGCGGTCCTTGCCGCATCACCTCCTTCATGCTGGAGGCAGGTGGGGACACTGAGGCTGGAGGTTCTGTGTCCAAGCTGTGTTGGTCAGCTGAACCTAGTTGAGCAAACCACTTTGATGGATGCTGTAGTCCTCAACTGTCACTCACCCTGCATCACCTCATCAAGTACTCTTGAAATGATTTGGCTTTTCTCTCCTATCCTCGAGGTCATAGTTTTCTCACAAGGAAATAATTCTGTTCTTGCCCCCACTCCCCTCACCCCCCGGGCCTTTGAGTTGCTGAATTTAACTAGTGGCATTTTGCTTTCATGGAAAAAAAATATTTGTCATCCTTAGTCTAATTTGTTTACTGAGAGTCCTCTAATCTGTGCAAGAGTTTTCTTCTGGGGGGATTTCTTGTTCCTACTATAATGGCTTTTAACTCGACTGAGGTTTATTTAACAGAGTAGGAAGGGAGAAACTTATCTCCTCCCTAATCCCTCTTGAATGTTTACATTGCTCTGCCAAAGCAAATGCTGTGTGAAGTGGCGCAGTCGTTTGCTGTGTAATAGTCAATACGCAGCTGCCAGAGCTGATTGAAACATATTACCGTAAGTGATAATACTGTCAGAGAAGTGAAAAGTTAAGTTGCTTATCAGTATATTTTGATAAGCTACTTAAATTTTACAGTAGCATGTGCTGGCTTCAGACAGACGCTGGTGATAAAGGACCGTGCACTCTATCTGTTCTCTGTGTTGCCTCTCACTTCATTTATCACCCTCAGCAGTACAGCCAGTAATCTGTGCAGGGTGCCGATTCCCCTCTCCCTGGCAGGACGTCACATCTGCGCTCTACATCGCGTCCGGCTCTATCAGTAACGGACTCTGCTGGCTCAGCAGGGGGACGTGACCAGGCCAGCAGGCGCTTGGCACGACACTCTTCTCACCTGCCTGTTTGATGTAGCTTTGGAATAGTTCCTTGTAAAGAACAAAGCCATTTAAAGTAAGCGGCAAAACTTCTTGAGGGTGGCAACACTTTGCTGCAATCCCGTAGTACCGATGCGCCTTTCCTGTCGGTCTTTGTCTAGTTTTATTTGTTCAGTAAGCGCCAGGTGCTGATGGAGAGCAGGCTCTGTTCTTGGCACTGGAAAGGCAAAGTGGACCACAGTGTGCTCCCTCCTCCCTGTTGGCATGCAGCATGTTGAAGAGACAGACACGCCACCGAGGATTGCATCATATGGGGAGTGTCACATAAGCAGTGCACTCATGACCAGGGCAACACAGGAAAGAGGGAGTCGGGCTTTGTGAAGCAGTGCCAGGAGGGGTGCACAAATCAGCTGGACTAGACCCTGATGGTGAGAGGGTGGACAGGGCGAGTGTATGCCAACTCAGGGAGGCTTGAGGACATCTGGACACTTACTGAGATGAGTGTGTCTCTCTATGAGGAGAAAGTAGAGAGAGGATGGCCAGAGAGGTACTGAGGGCCTGGCAGTGAGGAGCCCTGAAAGTCGTCCTGAGAAGTGTGACCTGGATCCCACAGCAATGGGCTATCATTGTAGGAATTTAACCCAGTGTGCAGTGTAAGTTTGCATTTTAGGGAGACCATTCCAAGAGCCACAAAAGGAGTAGACCACAGGGATAAGGATAGCAACCAGGCTGTTAATGGAGTTAAGGGGAGCAAGGGGCAGGAGGGCAGTGGGGACAGAGACTTAGGGCCCATCTCGAAGTTAATAGGAGGGTGCATGGTATGTAGAACATCTGCTGTGGCCACATGGGCAGTTTCTGGCTCATGGGCCCTTTGGGACCCTTTGTAGACATCTGCAGTGGGAGTACTGTGAATTGGCTGTGCACATCGCATCATAAGAAATTGAATAGAAGCTTTCCCCAGGAAAGGGGTGTGCTGGGCAGGGGGCAGCCACTCAGAGGCGGTGCCTGATTGCAGAGTTTGCTTTGAATTTCTTCTCTGCGAACCTATTCTAGCTCTGAGCCATGGGAATAATTTATAATGGACATTCAATCCTCTGCCTTACACAGGCAATTTTTTAAACTCTCAGAAATAATTAGCATTTCGCCAGTCCAGGTTTCCAGCTTAGTCTGTCAGGAAGAGTCTTCAGGATATAGAGAAAAATAGAAATGTATCAGTCTTGAATTTGGTCCTGGTTAAAGTTTTTGACCTGCATACTAATATTTTGTGTTTTCCCTCTCTTCTTCCCCCAGCTACCTACCCTGGTTCGAGGTATTTTATAAGTTACTTAACATCTTGGCAGATTACACGACAAAAAGACAGGTATTTGCCTTTCTTTTTAATAATCCTTTTTAACAAGTAAAATTTAATTTTTATGATTGTAAAAGTAACAAATGCCTTATATTGCACCAAAACCTTTACCAAGAAAGTAATGTACATTATAGAAAGTGTTGACAAAATCAGAATATAGTAGGAAGGTGAAAAAAATCGCTCAAATACTAAAATAATTATTGCTTACATTTTGGGTTGTTTTGTGCTAAAGAAATAATAAATGTTTAGCATTCATAGAGTTAATATGCACAATTTCTATTCCCATGCAGCGCTGAAAGTTTGTGACATGTATTAAATTACAACTTTGCTGAGGCACAAATTTGAATTGCTCATGTTATGCTGAGAATCTGGGGTTTACAAGTAAAATATTGGGCTGGCAAATAACTCACCCCTCGGTTCCCGTTTCAGTAACGTTCTGTGGGGCTTTTACAATAATTTTTGTAAGGGTCTGAAAATTACTTTAAAAATTCAGCTGTGCTTTACTATATTTTGAAAGAAATGGTACGGCAAGGTATCTTCCATGGATGCCAAAGGCCAAATGGAGCTATCTTCAGATTTTTACAGCCCACGTTTTCAGGTCCCATTATAAAAGAATCGTTTCTCCTGTGTTATTAAAGGTGTTGTAAATACTTTTCATGGCTGCATATCATGTACTAAAACACTTCCCTGTGATTGGCAATGTTTATTATTTGGGATTTTCCCATTATTACAAGAAGTACAGTATAACCATTAGCATCTTTGAGTATCAGACATTTTCTTCATTTTGGATCTTTCCTTAAAAGGAGTATCCCAGATGGGCCATTGTAAGGCCAGCAAACATAAACATCTTTAAAACATTTGCCAAACTGCTTTCTAAAAGAATTGTACAGTTTTCTTGAGGGATATCCTTTGCCGACAATATACGACTGTACCTTGGCCATAATACTCTGACCAGTATCAGTTGCTGAATTCATTGCTTATTTGACAAGTAAAAATCTTCATTGTTTTAATTGCATGTCTTGGATTATTAGTGAGTCGAATATTTGTCCATACGTCTAATGTCATTGTTTCCTTTTTGTAAATGGTCTTAAGTTGTTTTTTTTTTAATTTAAGTGATCCATTATTATTAACTGCTAAAGAAATTTTTTTACCTTTCTATTTTTCGGTTGGATGTTATTTCTGAGAAACGCTCTGTTCAAAGAATATCATACTTCAGTGATACTGGAGTTGCAGAGAGGGAATGCTGTGTTTCATTTTTGTCTCCTTAAGGTTCATATAATGTAGGTGCTGAGAAGTCCTGCAGTGGAGAGACCCGTTAGTGTCTCCCATCTCATTTGGCCCCAAACCCTTTTTATTCCATGAAAGATACTAACATTCGGAGGTAGCAGTGTCTTCTGGAACACGCTTTGGGAAATTCTGTTTTGGAGGAAGGGTGGAAATTGTATGTATAATGGATAAATTTCCTTTTAGAGATAGATTTACTCCTGGCAAATATATTCCAGAGGTCACAGCAAATGGAAAGAGTAACTAATAGAAATGGCTCCCTTGATCCCTACACTCACTCTGAAAAGAAGCTTAGACATCGGGAAATTCTGTCATAAAAGAAGTGCTTTCCTCTTTGATGAATGAGTTGGGAGGTCACCTTGGGTCTGTTCATTGATTTCTGATGCACAGTTATCTTTAGTCAAACATTCAGGTTTTCACTCAAATTTGAAAGGTGTCTTTAATAAATAGAATTATATAACATGCAGGCTTTTAACAGTTTTTGACTTGAAGATTGGCTCACATTTATTTTCTTCCATATGCTCCAGTCAGTCAAAAAAAACCAAAGAACTTCGTATTCTTTTTAAAATACGTCTTGTGATTCAGGAAAGGCTGGGTAGGTACAGCCTAAAGCACAGGAGAGACTGGGATTTTTACCCTGTAAAGCTGGTGAACCTTCCTCTGGGCCATTGCTCCAGCAAGGACCTTACCCCTTGGGGTGCTGGAGACTGAGATCAGGAACATGTTTCAAATGGAGTCAAGTTTCTCCCGAAATGAAGGCTTTTTTTTTTTTTGAGACAGGAGCCTCAAGCTGTCGCCCTGGGTAGAGTGCCGTGGCATCTCAGCTCACAGCAACCGCCAACTCCTAGGCTCAAGTGAGTCTCCTGCCTCCGCCTCCCAAGTAGCTGGGACCACAGGCACCCGCCACAACGCCCGGCTATTTTTTGGTTGCAGCCGTCATTGTTTGGCGGGCCCAGGCTGGATTCGAACCCACCACCTTGGATGTACGTGTCTGGCGCCCTAGCCACTTGAGCCACAGGCGCCGAGCCAAGGACTCTTTTTATTAAGTTTCTTTTGGTTAAAGGAATCATGACATGGATGATAGGGAATCTGCCTAGAACTGGTTTAATTGTTTGCAAGGCATTGTTCACCAAATTAGAATAGGAACAAAGGATTTTTATTTTAAAAAAGACCCTCCCCACAAAGAAAGAGACAACCTTCTCCCATCCAGAAGTCACTGGGAAGATTGGGCAAAGTAGGCTTTGTGTGTGTGTGTTTGTATATGAAAGAGAGATAGACTGAGACTGCAATGTCTCAACATAGTTGTGGGAGATCAAGGGGAGTGGCGTGACAAGGGCATCTGTTTGGGTCATGGGCTCAGGGTGGTTATCAGACCCCCAGTGGGGCACTAGTCATCCATGTGGAAGGGACAGAGGGGTAAGGAGGGCACCTCAGCCCAGGAGTAGCCTGGCTCAGCATGTTGGAGCCTGAGGGAGATGAGGAGGATGTTCATGTGGGAGAGTGGCATGGGATCTAGGAACTGGAAAGGGATCTAGAAGGATCCCCACAGGAAGAGAGGCAGCAGCAGAGGCCCAGTGCTGCGGTGCTGGATTCTGAGGTGGGGCAGGCATTCATGGGAAGGGCTGGACGGTGGAGGAGCAGCCGTGGTTGTCGGTGCCAAGGAGGGCACCTGGGTGCGGCAGTGACAACAGAGCGGTTCCAGACAAATCAGTAAATATATTCAAAAGATAGGGCAGAGATTTTTACTTATATAGAATGTAGTCACAAATATGTAAAGGGGGAAAACTACATGATTCCTGTATGAGACTTAAGTAATTGGAGCCATTGGTGTGAGCAAATAGATATGGATGTGTAAAGTGCCAGTCACAGGTCTGGTTCTCTCCACCGGAAGGGCCTGGCATCAGCAATTTCAAGTAGCAGTGAGTATACCTGGTGCCCAGATCTTGGTTTCTAAATACCTTGGTTTCTAAATTCTACCATTAAAAGGATCATTGAAGAAATCTCTGATTCCAGGGCTGGGTCATGGAAAGTATAAAACAAGCCTAAAATAACCTTTTGAGCCAAAAAGTAAAGAAGTGCACAAAACCTGATGGGGAGATACTAGAAAGACACAGAAGTGAACTTAAAGGGGAAAGGGGGCTCCCACTCATCCTATCTGGAACAATTTGAACATCAAAGCAAAAAATGGTAACAAAGGATTATATCCCACTGAATAAAACAGGAAACCTTGTGCCCCTACTAATATGAATAAATTAAGTTGATAAGTTGAAAGTTTGAGAAGTGAAATGTTGACATAAAACATCAAAATACTTATTTAATACAAAGGGAAAAAGCAACCTCACAGTAGAGACATCAGATGAATTCATGGAATGGAACAAACATTATCGTAAGGGGACAGACTAAAATTTGAATCATGAGAAAACATCAGACAATTGAGAGTCATGTTCCAAAGTGGGTGGCCTTGCTGTCAAAGTCATCCAGATCTAGGAAAGGCCGAGGAGCTCTTCCAGACCTCAGGAGACAAGAGAATCGTAACTACTGAATGCAACACGTGATTCTGGTCTGCACTGTTTGCTGCAAAGGATATTACTGGCACTGTTGGCAAAACTTGATGGGATCTGAGGGTCAGATGTTTATGGTGCATGGGTGTTCATTTCCTGATTATTATGATTGTCTTTGTTTTTCTCTGCTGCCATGAGAAAATACCACAGACTAAGAAATTCATAAAAGAGATTTATTTGGCTCACAGTTCTGGAGGCTGGAAAGTCCAAGAGCATGGTGCTGGCATCCGGTGAGGGCCTTCTGGCTGTGTCATAATGTGAGGAAGAGCACTGAGACTGAGACGATGGGGACCAAGCTCATCCTTTCGTTAGGAGCCTACTCTTGTGACAATGGCATCAGTCCATTCCTGAAGGCAGAACCCACTTTAATGTCTTTGTCTCTTAATATTGTTAGAATGGCAATGAAAATGTCAACACATGAACTTTTTTAGGGGATACATTCAAACTATAACAGTGATTAATTGTGCTTATTTAGGAGAATGTCCTTATTTGTAGGATGATGGAGCATAATCTTGGCAACTTTCAAGTAGTTGAGGAAATAAAAGGTTTTTTTGAACTGTTTCTACAACTGTTCTTTAAGTTTGAGATCATTTCAGACCAAAAGTAAACACATGCACATACCCCATAAGTTCATCTCTCTGCTTTGGGAGGTGCCCATTTGATTTATCAGAGTTCAGATCAAAACAAGCTCGTACACTGGGCTCATCCTCTGTTTTCCATCTTGAAGTTCACTACCAAAGATAGCTGTAGTGAAACCAAGAGGCTCTGGGTTTGAACACACAAAACCTGCACCCCACAACCCTCACTGTGCAACTTACTAACTGGCTGGTTTGAGACAAGTTGCTTCACCTTTCAGATCCTCAGTTTTCACATCTGTAAAGTGGGGTAGTTGGGTGGATCCAGTGGATAACACACGGATACAAATGTAAACTTAGTACTATTATATTAGCACAAAGAATTCCACAGGGTGAGAGAAATGCCTTTGGATAATTCTGTGAGCAGTGTTCTTTTGAGCATTTTAGAGGTGAATCCATTTTCAATTGAATAATTTGTACTGCTTTGTGTGCCATTATGTTGCTCAATTTCACTAATTAAAATGCACAGCCACCATCCTATATTGCATGCTGTTCATTTCTAACTTAGTTCATTTCTAACTTTCCATAATTGGAGGCTGCCATGTGTACCAGTGAACGCTCAATAAAATTAATTGAGGGTAATGATGATGAAGACAAGATCTATAGTGTCATCGTTATTTCTCCCAACCACCCCCGCCCTGTAAGCCAGGGTTGTTTGCATTTAAAAGTTGTTGCTATGGAGTTGAGGGGATAGATTTGCTGAGAGCTTATGGTATATGATCCATAAAAGGCGGTCATGGTAGGTGTCTCACTGAGTAGAAAATGTCAAACTTGGTGTGGGAGGATCTATTTGGCTCTTATGTTTGAGGCATACGCAGTGTCTTTTGTCCAACCCTACTTGAATATCAAACCTATTTCTGTAGTGGGGCCAGCATCTGCCCAGCCTCCTCAGTCATGTGTGCCCAGACCTCCCTGCAGGTATCTTACTAAGGACTCAGCCTTGCTTTTGTTACTTAGGCCTTTTATTTCTTTCAGGAAAGTCAGTGGAATGAGCTTCTTGAAACTCTGCACAAACTTCCCATCCCTGACCCAGGAGTGTCTGTTCATCTCAGCGTGGTAAGTGGGGCAGAATATTAGCAATCACTCAGAAAGCATTTCATTATCAAGTGGAGGAGGGAGTTAGCCAAATAGGATTGGCTTTTGTCATCTTACCTCTCCTATCCCTACCCTTGAATACTGAGACCTCTAGGCTCAAGGCCAGCTGAGGAGTTGAGTTCCTTCTTTTCTGAGATTCTATGAGGAATGGATGGGCCCTGCATTTCCCCAGGATCCTCTCTGGCTGGTCATCATTTCATTACAAGCCTCTCCTGGGTCACAGATGTCAGGCTGGAATAAGATAACTGACCCCTGCCTGCCTCTTCAGTCCTTGTTCTAGGCACCCTCTCTCACCCTTTGTCCCCAGCATTGCTGTGCACCCCCCTTTGCTGAAGCCTTCCACATTGCCTCCTCTCCCCTGTTTGCCAAGATAACACATATTCATCCTTCAGAACTCCGCTCTGATTTTATTTCCAGAGAAGTCCTCCCTTAACACCTCACAGGCTTAGGTAAGATTCTCTCCTTTGCCCCAAGCACACTTGCACACTTTCCAGCACTTAGTCACACCAAATTGTAATGATCCGTTTTCCTTTCTTCCTCATCGGACTGTGTGTCCCTTGAGGACAGAGGGGGAGAGTGCTTAGTGTAGCTGCCAAGTCACAGTAATAGTTGCTTTGAATGCTTTTGAATACAGACTTCATATTCTGCAGTGGGCTGGGGTGGTAAACTACCAAATGGAAGATTTCAATCCCTACTGTCATTTTGCCAATGACCTGAGTGACCATAATCAAGACCTTTAACCTTGTGGGCTTCAATTTCCTCATGTGTCAGATAAGGTGTCTGGCATCCTAGTGATCTGTAATTATTTCTTACAGATTTTTTTTCAGAATGATGATAAAATTAAAAGCAGTGTTGTAACCAATATATTAAGTTCCTAATTTATGTAAACATTATCTCTAATCCTCAAAACAACTCTGCAAAATAGATTAACATTCCCATTTCTTAGATGAGGTATAGAGAGGAAAGGCACTTGCCTATCCCAGGTGAGGTGGTTAATAAGTGATAAGATCTGAGGTTTCAAACCCAGAGCTACCTTCGAAGCCTAAGTTCTTTCTACTTTGCCATGAATGTTGAAAGAGAGGGAGGAAAGGAGCAAACAAAAAAATGAATTGATAGAGGTATTTGCTTATTTTAATAGAACACAGGAAGAAGGAAGGAACCCTTGCGACAAAAATTCTTGTGAGGGAGGAGACTGGAAAAGATGAACAAGTGAGCTTGAAACCTGCCCGGGTCATTGCTGTATAGCTAAGCAACTCTGCCTTTGTCTCTGTCGCTTTTCCTAAGCAGCTTGATCTCACCGCTTCGGTCTGTAATGACATCCGACAGGTAGCCATGGAGTAGCCCAGCTGGGTCACCAGCTGCCGGAGAGAAAAGGTTGTTCCCTTCCCCTGAATGGCTGCGCAGGCAGCATGCCTGCCAGGCCTCAAGGACGAGCCATGTCAGGGGCAAGAGGAACTGTTGGGGTGGTGCAGCTGTTTCATGCCAGTGGTTTCTAGGAATGTTTCTGACCTCCCTTGGTCCCCAGCATTTCATGGGCGATGGAGCAAGACAGAATCTCAAAGGACAGCCTGGGGACTACTTTGGTTTTGGAATCCTGATGGCTCACTATTTATAATCCATTGCCTCTGGAAGGACAGATATTTTTTATTTCCTGTTCACTAGGAATTCCTCTCTCCATGTTATATTTCTCATTTTGAAGGACTCGTCTCATTAGGTGATGAATCCCGGAAAGCTGATAAAATGGCAGTACGGGCCTTTTTCTTAGTCACTATCTACAAGAAAATATTTCTGTGTGACTTATATACAGAAATGTAAACTAGCAGATCAGAGCAATAATAATTTTATATAAAATAACAATTTTGTATTTTATATTCTAGTGCATGTTAGGCATGTCACATATAAAACATTCTTCACAACAGTTTTGGAGATGTTATGGTTCCTATTTACAGATTCAAAAACTGAGGTTCTGTGCTGTTAAAGGAAGTCACTAAGCTCACATAGTTACGAAGTTGCTAACTATGCTCTGAGTTTGTTTCTGTCACTGACCAAACCATTGCTTGGTGACTCCATCACCATGTGGACATCTGTTACTGAATATTTCCTAAAACTCCCTTCTAGCTTTTGAAGCTGGGTCTCATGGAGTCAAGTTGGAACCTTGTATTTAACTTTCTCCATTTTTTTCCTCATTGTGAAATTGAATTATTTACTAGTTTCCGTGTGGTACTATCTCTATTACTTCATAGGTCGTATTTTGGCGTGCACACACAGTTTGGAATAGTACCTTGCAGAAGGTTTTATTTTCTGTTACTTTTCTGTGTGTGTGTGTGTGTGTGAGATTTTGTATATATATATATATATATATAGTTTTGTTTTGTTTTTATTAGACAGAGTCTCTGTTGCCCAGGATAGAGTGCCTGGCATCAGCCTACCTCACAGCAACCTCAAACTCCTGAGTTCAAGAGTACCTCCTGCCTCAGCCTCCAGAATAGCTGAGACACAGGAGCCTACCATAATGATAATTTTGGGTAATTTTTCTATGTTTTTAGTAGAGAGGATGTCTCCTCTTGCTCAAGTTGGTCTTGAACTCCTGACCCCAAGCAATCCTCCCATCTCAACTTCCCAGACACTAAGATTACAGGTGTGAGGCACTGTGCAAGGCCAGTTTTTTTGTTTTTCATTTTTTAGTTTATTATTTTAATCACAGTTCCTTTAGCTGTAATTTGCACATAAAAGCACGAGCATAGTAGTCCTTGTAGTGGAAAGAACACAATTCTAGTTATACACACCTGGCTTCAGTCCTAGTTCTCCCACCTACTAGCCATGAGGGCTTAGCCCTAGTACCTCACTAAGTATTAATTTATTCACTCAGAGTATGCAGATAATGTCTTTCTTAAAATTTGTCATAGAAATCAGAGATAATATTTACAAAGGACCTGACATAATGCCTCCCGACATAGCAGGCGTTCAGTAAATACCGATGGAATATTAGACGAGTGGCTTATGCTATTATCGTTGTTATTGTCACCATTATACTTGTCTCCAGGGCCTTTCCTTTCAGAAAACCTATACGGTGCATTCTTCTAGGGTCCTACTTCTTTCACATTTACCCAAGGATAGGAGGGTGGGGGGACTTTCTGCAGTGTCACTTGGAGGTCCAGGTTTGAACTTAGGCTGTGACTCAGCTTTCCTTTCCTGCATGTGACCTCTCCCGGCCTTTGCACAATCCCATCTTTAATTGGTCAGCCCCAGGCTTTTTCCATTCCTGCTTGCATTGTCCTCTGAGTCTTTCATAGCAGCAGAGGAGGCATCATCAGTTCAGCCTGTTGTCATTTAACTCAGGGACACATCCTTATTTCATACATGGAGATGCCTCCGTGAAAGTTCTTTGAAGAGGTTGATTTTTCAACTTCACTGAGTCTCTAGCTCCCTTCACTGGAGATCCCAGGGGACATCAGAAGGCTGATTCCCAGAGTGTAGTTAGTGGACAGAATTTCTCCACCATTGACCGTCTGCAGTGGTCTCAGAGTAGTGGCCCCTCACCTGGAGCTGTTCTTACTATCACTTAGGCCTTTGGGACAGATTTTGGCCAGAGTTTGTAGATGGATATAATCTCAGATGCTGAAATGAAATGGCAGATTTGGTTGGTAAAAGCCATGGCTGACTGAATCTAGTGATATTTGGTCCCTAGGATCTACTTGCCTCGTTAAACAATAAATTATGAAACCTACAGCTTTCATGTGTTCAGAAACCTGTAAACATCTTACGGGAATTTAGCTCTTAGCCTCTTTGAGCTATTCCTTTATGTCTCCCAAAGAAGTTCATTGCTCATAGAAAAGAGCTCCATCTACCAAACTGATGTTTTGATGCATCTGGTTTAATCCAACATTATGCAAAGAAAGTATACCATGGATATTTCCTATGAGTGAAGTTCTGTTTGCTCCTCTGAGTACAGAAATATCTTCCAGTTGTTTACCTGAATTCTCAGTAATGTGCTTGCTACACGTTAGCAAAATAAATTGATTTTGCTTCTCTTTTACAGCATTCTTATTTTACTGTGCCTGATACCAGAGAACTTCCCAGCATACCTGAGAATGTAAGTACTTGGGAAGAAAAAGTTAGTTTTTATTCTTCTGTTTTCTACTTTTTTAAAATAAACAGATAGGTTTATTCATCATAAAAGCAAGAAAACATTAAAAGCAAAATGCGTTATAAAACCAAAAACAAATAGAGAATATTTGCAAAGTACAGAAAACAAAGGCAAGGAGGAATTGTTGATACTTTGCAACGGTAATTTACCTGTAAACATGTTCTATCACCTTCCAGTCTTTTGAGACTGTATTTTTGGAATAATTAAATCACCTGTTATAAAAGCATTTTCCCATTTTCATTCAAAAGAGTCAAAAGAGTCATTTTTGTTGACTACATAATTTTCCATTTGATGTGCAGTTTATTTAGCCATTTTTTCCCTGTCAAACATACTGATCGTTTCTCATTTCTGCTATTGTAAATGAAATGTATAAAAAGACTTTTCCATATAGAGCAGTGGTTCTCAACCTGTGGGTCATGACCCACAGGAACTGTATTAAAGGGTTGTGGCTTTAGGAAGGTTGAGAACCACTGACATAGAGGGCTTGTTTTTGTTTTTAAATTAGGGGAGATTTACTCAAGTAGAATTCAACTTGTACTTCTTATACTTCTATTCACTTTTCGGAGAATAAAGTGTTTGTGGATAAAGTGTGAGTGCCCCCGTCCCTGCCTCTGTAAGACTGACAGTGAACTGGAGTGTGAGAGGGGAGGTTACTGTCTCCCCTCTGAACAAGCTGAGTGGCAGATCTAGTCTAGCCTTACGACACATTTTCAAAATGTTTTTCTGTGATTACAAATTGTACTATGTAGTATCAAAGACTAGCCACCCCTTGGTGCTTGATTTCTTTTTTAAAATATACATAACATTAAATTCACTACCTTAACTGTGTTTAAGTGTACACTTCAGTAGTTTTAAGTACGTTCGTATTATTGTGCAATCAATGTCCAGAACTCATTTTATCTTGCAAAACTGATCCACATTTGCCTCTCTCTTCAACCCCTCGCAACCATCCTTCTGTTTTCTGTCTCTATGAATTCAACTACTCTCAGTGTAGTGCCTCAGATGAGTGAAATCGTACAATGTCCTTTTGTGTCTAACTTACTTCACTTAGCAGAACGCCATCAAAGCTCATCCATGTTGAAGCATGTGTCAGAATAGCCTTCCTTATTAAGGCTTGGTAATACTCCCTTATCTGTTTATACTACATTTTACTTAGATTTTCATCCTTTAATAGACCCTTGGGTTTTTTTCACCTTTGGGCTATTGTGAATAATACAGCTTTGAACATGTGTGTACAAATACTTTTTCAAGTCCCTGCTCTCAGTTCTTTTGGGTATATACTTGAACAGTTGATTACTTTCTAAGAGTACTGTAATAAGTGATGTATTTGTTCATGACTACTATAGATTTACAGAAAGGAAATCTTCTAAGTGTAGAATTAGAACATCGAATAATCAAAGGTAATGAAGTTAGGCTGAAATGGTGTGATTAGACAATAATCTTTATAAGTTTGGATTATCAAGCATATTTGTAAATTTTATTGTCTAAACAATCAGGCTATAGTGAAAAATGTTGCTTCCCTTTTATTTGATATTAAATAATAAGGGCTGGGTATAGTAGCTCATGCCTAATCCCAGCACTCTGAGAGGCCAAGGCAGGTGGATTGGCTGAGCTCACAGGTTTAAAACCAGCCTGAGCCAGAGCTAGACCTCATCTCTAAAAATAGTCGGGCATTGTGGCAGGGACCTGTAGTCCCAGCTACTCAGGAGACTGAGACAAGAGAATCGCTTGAGCCCAAAAGTTTGAGGTTGCTTTAAGCTATAACACCATTGCACTCAATGCCAGGGTGACTAAGTGAGACTCTGTCTTTAAAAAGAGAAAAGAAATTGTGACATTCAGACCAAAGTTCGCATTTCAGCAATGATAGCTAACATTTATTGAGTACTACTGCTTTTCAAATGTTATAGTCAGTGCTTTACCTACATTTTCTTATTTACCTTTCTTAACAAGCTTAGGTGGTAATTGCCACAATTATTATTTTATCTTAGGAAGCAGAAGCCTTGAATATTTAAGTGACATATTCAAGGTACTATAGCAAAGAAATGGTAGAAGCAGAATTTAAACGTTGGTCTTTGTGATTCTTGAGACTGAGCTCTTACATACTGCTCTGTACTTTGAGCCCATGATTTTTACCTTTTACTTCTGAAAAATGCCATTGAAATGCTAAAAGTGGTATAAAATTAAGGAGAAAAATCACCCTACAATTGTAGCAGAAGCCACCAGGAGCCAAAAGTTTGGAAATTTCTGTAACGTGGAGGAGATGATCACTGATACTTACTAGTCTATTTAGTATGGACAATGAAGAAATCCAAAAAGAAGTAGAAAAATACTGCAGAAATAACAGAAGCAAAGGCATGTCCTGGAGCAGCTGCAAAAGGCTATTGAAGATTATTTAAAAATGCTATGTTAACACTTATAAACGTTCCTCACTATAAAATTACACTGAAAATTTCAAAACAGAAACAGTCAAGCTCTTGGAGGTCACTTTTATCTAAGTGAAATAAAACTGTAAATTAGTAGCTGGGCACAGTGGCTCACACCTGTAATCCCAGCACTCTGGGAGGCCGAGTTGGGTGGATTGCCTGAGCTCACAAGTTCAAGACCAACCTGAGCCAGAGCAAGATCTGGTCCCAGCCATTGTGGCCAGTACCTATAGTCCCAGCTACTTGGGAGGCTAAGGCAAAAAAATCCTCTTGAGCCAAAGAATTTGAGGTTGCTATGAGCTGTGACACCTGGCACTTTTCCGAGGGCAACAAAGTGAGACTCTGTCTCAAAAAAACAAACAAAAAAATTAACCCTATAAATTAATAGTAAAGGCTTTTAAAAAGTTATCTACATGAAATAGGCAGATATTATTAGAATTAATGATACCAAATGCCTAAGTGATATGGCCAAAATCATACCCAGGGGAAAATTCATAGCTTTGAATGCTTTTATATAAATAAGAATTTATGAAATAATGAACTTAATTTTCAACAAGCTCAAAAAAAAGTAATAAGCCAAAACTAGAAAAACGGATTCTATTAGGAAATATTGTTAAAATTAAATTAAGAAATAATGTGTTGTAAAAACTGAATTTTTGGAAAAAATGAAATTTTAAATAATGAATTTGGAAATTACAAAAGTAAAAAATTCTCTAGAAAAATATAAATGATTAAAGTGAACCTAAGAAATAAAAAATATGAACATAGAAAAATAACTTAGAAAGCTCTGATACAGTCTCTACTCTCACCCCTTCAATTACATCAGGTTTAGGTGGGTATAGAGGTATTTTCAAGGAACAGATAACTATTACTTTAACCATTCCAAATCTATAGAAGAAGTATATTTGTATGTGTAGCATACAAAAGCAAAAGAAAACAAGCAGTGGTATATGTATACCGTGGAATACTCTTCAGCCATTAAAAAAAATGGAGACTTTACATCTTTTGTATTAACCTGGATTGAGGTGGGACACATTCTTCTTAGTAAAGCACCACAGGAATGGAGAAGCAAGAATCCAACATACTCAGTTCTAATATAAAGGCAGTAGATGATTCAGTACAATGTGGGGGTTAGGAGAATGAGGGAGCGGGTAGAGGGGATGCTAGAGGGGGATGAGGGTTATGGTGTATGGTACACCTCTTAGGGGTGGGACACAATTATGAAAGGGACTTTACCTAACACATCCAATCAGTGTAACCTAATTTTTTGTACCCTCAATGAATCCTAAACAATAAAAAAAAAAAAAAAGTGCCCATAATCCCTCATCTCAGAGAAAGTCCTGTTATGAATGTTTCTTTCTTTCCCTTCATGATGGTATTAATAATGATTTTCTAACTGCACTGCTGGGAGCCCCAGAAGGCCTGGGGTAGATAGATGTTTCACTGATTAGAGCACTGAGTCCCTGCTCCTGTTCTATCCAGAATGTGTTCATTTTTACTGTTTAAATTGGGAGTTGAGCAATATTTTGAGGCAAAAGTGTTCTTTTGTTTTTTTTTTTTAATTTAGAAGCTATATGTTTAAAAACACACAGTAGGATCATCATAGCAATATATATTTTTATAGCTGCTTTCTCTTATGACAATGTATCATGAACCTGTGTGGTTAAAAATTACTTATAGATACTTTGTTATTAAAAAATGAAACAATATAGGTTCAGTGCCCATAGCTCAGTGAGTGGGGCACCAGCCACATACACCAAGGCTGGCAGGTTTGAGCCCAGCCTGGGCCTGCTAAACAACAATGACAACTACAGCCAAAAAGTAGCTGGGCATTGTGGCGGGCACCTGTAGTCCCAGCTACTTGGGAGGCTGAGGCAAGAGAATCACTTAAGCCCAAGAGTTTGAGTTTGCCGTGAGCCGTGATGCCACGGCACTCTACCGAGGGTGACATAGTGAGACTGTGTTCTCCAAAAAAAAAAAAAAAAAATTAAACAGTATAGCACCTGTAATCCCACTCTTCCTCCAGAATTTGATGAATGAACGTTCTTCCAGACCTTTCTCTATGAATTTGGTGTTATATGTGTGATTACCTGGGTATGTTGGAGATTTTTTTTTAACATCAATGTGTCAATACTCTTCCTATTTTTTAGCAACTCTCCATTTTGGTTTGATGTATTCTAGAAACTGTCACATCTGCCTCTTTCCATCATTTTGTGATATTTTATTTGATGGCATTTTTATTCTTATGAAAGTAATGAATATCAAAGGCTTAAAAAACTGTGTAGTAACATATAGTTATTGATGAAAACCAGCAAGTTCACGTTGTTTACACTTCTTACTTCCCAGAGGTAGCTATCTTCAAGTTTTGAGGAGTTGCAGTATTTTTATTTTGAATAACATGTTCACATTGCTGTATGTTAATTTTTTTTTCTTTTCTTTTCTTTTCTTTTTTTTTTTTAGTTTCAGATGTTACCTATTGAATTTCTTATGTGAGATGAGAGTTTAGGTCTTTTACCACTCCTG